AGGACACATGCTCTCTCTGGAGAGACAGAGAGACAGAAAGCAAGAAATCACCCCTAGGAGGGATGGCCACACTACAGTAGTTCCTTTTCCTCCAGGCTCCTCTTGGGATTTTGTGCACACAAGCACATATGCCCGGCGTGAGTTTTAAGTTGCTGGGTCTGGGACTTGAACCACCGTCGACTATGTGGGAGTCCAGCAATGTAATCATTATACTATCTGCTGTTCCCCAACATGAATCATATTCTAACTGTACATCTTGGTGTCCAATTTCTTCCTATACTGGGTGCATTGCCATGACCTGCTCATATGTGAAAGGTTTGTTAGATCAAAATGGAATCTTGGTTGGAGCTTCTAAGGATGCTTGGTGGCCTTGCTTCCTCACCTGTCTGTGATCATGAAGGCCTGTCCAGATGTCAGCTGGGATACCAGGAACACAACTGTTCACAAGGTCATACACAAAGACATTCTCCTCCCAGCTGCAAATATATGAAACACAGTAGCATGTTACTTACTGCCTCCTTTCAGAGGAAAAAGTTGAGAACTGAAAGCAATCCTTCTAAACCTTCCTGGACCAAAGTAAATAGAGAATACAATACAACCGTGCCTTTTTAAAAAAATTAGGTCACCATATATGGTTGTCTTTATATGGATATGGATATCTCTGGATTTGACTCATGCTAGATTCTATTCATCCCTAAAATTTTAAATGTATCTAAAAATATTAGTAAACATGGTGGATTAAAAATATGAAGAGACAAAACAAAAGGGATTTATGTTGCATTGCACACATTAAAGAATTTAATGAAAAAAATCCACTAGACATTTTTGTTCTGCTTCAAAGGCACCCTTACACTGCCAGTCTTTATATAGCTCCCTCCCTCCTAATCTTTTCTCATATATCATCTCCAAAATCTTCTCTATTTTCCTGGGATATTCAGCTCTAGGCTTGAAATTGCATAGCTCACTCAGCAAAACCAAGCCCTACAGGTGAAAAACTCACCCTCTTTAGAAAGCATTGGTGTCTTCTTTGGTATTTTTATCTTCTATTTCAAAAAAGTTAACACAGAATTCACCCAACAAAAGAAATCAATGGAGGGCATTGGCAACAGTCCATCATCAAAAACAACAACAAAAATAGAGATAAATGGATGAATGGGTGGATGAGTAAGTGGGTGGATGGCTAGATGGATGGATGAATGGATGGATAGATGAGTGGATGAATGGATGAGTGGATGGATGGATGAATGGGTAGGCGGGTAGATGGATGGATAAATGAATGGTTGAATGAGTGGCTAAGTGGATGGAGGGATGAAAGGACAGACAGATGATGATAGATAGATGGATATATATATATACAGTTAAACAGACACAGAGAGGCTTTCATCATGCCATTAAGATGTTTCTTTACCACAGATTTCATGTCAGGTAGCATGTTTGGCATTGTACATGCATGAACGCCTTTCATCCTCACACTAAACAAGTCTCTGGATGGACACTACTGGTTTTCCTACCTCACAGTCATTCCTAGTCTCTACCCACTGCCTATATTGTAACCAAGAACAGCCAGCTTTTATTTGCCCAGCCTCCTCTGTATCTAACATTGACATGTGACCAACTTTGGCCAGTTAGCTATAAGGGAAAGTTCATAGGAACCCTCTTGGAAGTATTTTCCTTCATGAAAGGAGGGAAGTGTGTGAAGAAGTTCCCAGTTTCTACCACTGCCCTTCCTCCTTGAGTTGTAGCCATGTTGGACACAAAACTTGGAGCTGTTGGGACCAGCAGTTAGTGTAATGGCTATGTCGCTGGACTCCCACGTAGTCAACAGTGGTTCGAGTCCCGGACCTGGTGGCTTAAACTCACGCCGGGCGCGTGTGCGTGTGTGCCCAAGATCCCGAGAGGAGAATGGAGGAGAAGGGATTGCAGCATGGCCACCCCCCCTGGGGGGTGATTTCTTGCTTTCTGTCTCTCTGTCTCTCTCTGTCTGGCTGGCGAGCGCATGCGCCCTATAGCAAAAATCTCTCAAAAAAACAAAACAAAACAGAACAAAACAAAAAAACATACTTGGAGCTGTTGCATTGACGACCCTGGAGGAAAGCCATGATAACCACTTACCCTGTGCCCTGATATCAGTCAGCCTGGAAAACATTATTTGCAGAATTAGATGGACAGACAAAGGATGTGGGAGCAAGTGGACAAATGGTAGGCACAACTTCACTCAAATCTTTCACAGAACCAGATGGACAGATCCCACTGGATAATTGGTTCTCATTACTGGTTTCCACTTACCACTAAAGGTGAGCTTCAGTATGTCGAAGAAGTCATCATAAAATAATAATAATCAAACCTGAGTCTAACAGCTAACGGGTACCCTGGTAATAGCTTGTTTCAAAACAGGACTATGCCAAGGTGCCTTTTGTACTACACTGAGATATATAAAGCTGTCACCTTGTCTAAAATACCCACCATTAGGGTATTTACTTTTGCTTGAGGTATAGGTAGCAAATCAAAGCACACATATTTACTTTCCTAGTTTTGCGTTGGGAAAAATATGACTAATCCTTTCCAGGTTAGCAGCATTTAGAATTCTGGCACTCAGAATCCTCTTAACACAGAACTCCATGGAATCACATGCAGGGAGTCACTCAACAGACAGCGTTGGAGGAAATGGAGAGGAAGGAAAGAGGGAGGGTGAGGTAAGGCTTGCTTGCCTTCGGAAAGATGATCCGACATGGGACTGCTAAGAAAAAACTGACCTCCTTGAGGCAGGATCATAGAATTACAATTTACTATCATCAATAAAAGTAACAGCCTCCATTATTCAAGCACTTCATAAGAACTTTATACGCATTATTGCCTCTAAATCTCCACAGCTTTGAAAGGTTAGTGTGATTATCACTGTTGCCTGGTTGAGGACTCTTTGGGTTGGAAAGTTTATGTGACTTGTCAAGACTGAGCAGGTAGGAAGTGATGGAGCTGAGAATAGAGTCTAGATCTTGACTCTAATGCCCATAATCAATGCCCATAGTGTCTTCCATGGCTTTGTTTATCTGGAACATCTGCTGCCCCATCTCTTAAGCTGCTTAATCCTTCAGGAAACCTTCCATAAATGTCCTCTATTCAATTCTTTTAAAAGGTGTGTATGTATGTATGTATGTATGTATTTCTTGAATGAATAGAGATATAGCACCCCTGACACATGTGCCCAGCATACTCAGGGAGGTCTCTGGACTTGAACCAGTAACCCTACCATCAGGGTTAGCCTCACAGGATGCTGGGTTTTACTGTGCTCTCACTATTGGCCTCCTCTATCCAATTCTTGACTACCTACAGCTCAGAGTTCCTGCCCCACTCAGGGGTTGGCTGGTTGGTTTAGTTCTCCATTTCTCAAGGGATAATCTCTGCAAAAGGGCTGCAAGGACAACAGAGACTGACATCACGCTTTCTATTTGGCATCCTCTCCCACACTATCACCAGTCTCTAGTCAATGCTGGTGCTTTCAGAGCATGTGTTCTGTCCAAAGTGAGAGAGCCCAGATTTCTGGGGACAAATCATCCTTCCATTCAATGGTCTTTGACTTCATTCCCACCCAGCTGGGTAAGCAATAGCATCCTCAAATGCCTTGCTCATGCAACATTCAGGCTCCTATATAATAGCTGAACATGCATTTAGAGCAGTCTTCTGGTAGAACAGCAGCCTAGCCACTCTACCACAAGCACCATCTTTGTTCAAGAGCACCCATTTGGACAACCACCTGAATATTTTATTGCTTTTCCTCATATTTGATCAAAATAACTGTAAAATGGAAAGGCCCAAGGTGCTACTGCAAATAATAAGAGAGATCAAATGAACTTAATTCAATTCAGCTGTGGCTTGAAACAGAGATGGAAATTATTAGGAAAGGCAAAAATATGAGAATCGTAAACCTGAATGAGATGTTCCATGCACATAAGCTGATTGTGTGTTTAATTATGAAGAAAATGCTATGTAGAATTGGATTGTGTCTCAGAGAGAAGATGAAATTCAGGATTTTATAATACTATTTAATTTTAAGAGAAATGAGGCGCATTTATATCAGGTGAATGTTTATTCAAGTTTTATTCAAATCCAACTTTTCTATGTGTTTTTCAGGAAAGTTTTTTATGCCAAAGTGGAGGATGACCTGTAGAAGAGATGGAAGAAAGAGAAGGCTGGTATGGGGGGATAGAGAAGAGGGGAAGAAGGTCAACTTCAGGCAGAAAAGAACAGGAGCAGAAACAGTGATTGCTAGGAAGGCCCTGAATTTGCCCTGAATCCCTCTGATGTCTGGCTCACCGAGATGTAGGTTAAAGCATAATGAATGAGCAGGCTGAGCAGTCCCTCCTGGGCTGTCTGAAGCAAATTCTTGATTTTAGAATCATTTTTATAGTCATTCTTTATTGCATATATCTCATCTTCCTCTATAAGGCTGGGAATTCTTTGAGAACTGATTTCTCCACTTTTATAAGTGCTAGTTCTCTGCTCTGTATCACAGGAGACTTCACCCCTGAAATGCCTTTCTTGTGTTCCCATGTCACCTGGCTTCCAGCATTGGGGAGCCATGGCAGGATGGGAGGGAGGGGGAAACCAGGGTGATTCTTTCTCTGCTGGAGAGTATGGTGGGGGTGTGTTTTTCCTCTGTGGCTCCAGCTCTCAGTTCAGGGCTGGACTTGCCCTCTGCTGTTGGCATCTCGAGTTTGCCTCACTATGCTCTGCAAGTCCTGAGCTTGCATCTGTGCATGTATTGCATCTTCCCTGTATCCAGTTCTCTGTTTTGAATGCCCGTATGGCTCCTCTTTCCCAGGCTGCACCCTGACTGCCTCAGCATATTTCATCCCCACTGAGAAAACTTTTTTTTTTTTTGGCCGGAGCATGTGCACTTGCCAGAGAGAGATAGAAAGAGAGAAAGGAAAAGTTAGAAAGCATCCCCTAGAGAGGATGGCCATGCCACAATTCCTTCTCCTTCATTCTCCTCTTGGGATTTTGGGCACGTACACACATGCACCCGGTGTGATTTTCAAGCCTGCAGGTCCAGGACTCAGAGGTTGAGTCCAGCACCTCAACCACCACACCAACTGCTGACCCAGCCCTCTCTGCTTGTAACAAAACTCAGTGACTCTAAAACATAAAGACCCCACCCTGTGTCTAAATGAGTCTCTGTTCTTGAAGAACCATGGCAAGATCGTGATTTGTGGTTTGGGTGCCAACATATTGCCCCTGGCCTGGGGAACTCACGAATCAATGGGGAAGTCAGATGTGAAAACAAGTAGTTAAATTGTGATGAAGAAAGTGCCCCAGGGGACTAGCAGTTAGCATAATGGCTGTGTTGTTGAACTCCCATGTAGTCGACCGTGGTTCGAGTCCTGGACCTGGTGGCTTAAACTCACACTAGGCGCGTGTGCCTGAAAGGAGAATGGAGGAGAAGGGATTGCGACCATCCCCCCTGGGGGATGATTTCTTGCTTTCTGTTTTTCTGTCTTTCTGGCAAGTGCATGCACCCTATGGCAAAAACCTCTCCAAAAAAAAGAAGAAAGAAAGAAAGAAAGAAAGAAAGAAAGAAAGAAAGAAAGAAAGAAAGAAAGAAAGAAAGAAAGAAAGAAAGAAAGAAAGAAATAGTAAAGAAAATGCTCCAGAAGAGGACAATGAGTGTGATTGGGGTTCCAGAGAGTCAGAAGTGGCTTCAGAGTCATCTTAGGTTGAGGAGGTATTTACCAAGAGGAGAAGAAAGGAATTCCCAACAGAGGGAACCGAATGTGCTAAAAGATACAGAGAATAAAAGGCTTGGGCCAGATGGGAGAACTTTGAGATGGTTAGAGTGACTTGTGGCTTAAGAAACATGGAGAACTATGTAAGGAGATCTTGAGAGGTAGGTTACAAATTTGAGTACTCGGGTTCAAAACCCAGTCCCTCCACTTAATACCTGTGCAACTTTGAGCAAGTTACTTCCATTTTTGGAGCCTCAGGCTCCTTATTTGTAAAATGAGGCTACCTACATAATATGGTTTGCGGGAGGTTGAATGTGATGATGTACATGATACACTTAGCCACTAAACGTCAGCAATTATTTTACGTTATATTCTTTACATTCATAGCATGACAGCTATACCACAGGGTCAAACCTCTGTGAACAGAGCACAACACATGATTAGCACTAGTAAAGATGGATCTTCTAGCACGCTACTGCTACCCTGCTAAATGCATTCTCTTCTACTGCCAGGGGTCATCTCAAAGAAAAATTGGGTTGGATTAAAAAAAAAAATCTTCAATTACCGAAGAGGAATGACAGTGGAAATGCCTTTCTCCACTCCCCTTCCCAAAGGGAGGCTTAGTTGGACCACAGAGGACCTGAGCGTTCCACTCACCTGTGGATGGAGGCAAGTTTGGCAGATTTCTTGCCAATGGAGAACTCAGAGCAGTAGAGGTCAGCCTCAGCCCAGGTCTTGTTGAGAGGGAAGAATCTATAGCAGTGGCCTTTGAACTCCATCCAGAACAGAGGGCACAGGGAAGCCTGGGGCAGCTCTGGCAAGGCTGGGGGCAGAGAGAAATAGACCGGGAGGAAGGTTGGCAGAGCTGACATATTTTCTTAGCTTATTATGTATCTCCGAGAATGAAAAGGACACCCCATTATGATTAATGCAACTCAGTGTTGAAGTTCAAAGAACGCACGCATATCTAAAATAATAAGTCATGTGTGTTTATGACAGAACACTTGGAAAATGTTAATCCTTTGGTACATTCTTCCTCATGTTGCATTTGTGTGTGTGTTTTCTTCCCTTTCTTTTTTTTTTTTTTTAAACAGTCTATCCATCTATTTCTTCCATGAGTGAAAGGATAGCGAAAGAAAGAGCACTCCCCTGGGACCAGCAGTTAGTGTAATGGCTATGTCGCTGGACTCCCATGTAGTCGACTGCGGTTCAAGTCCCAGACCCACTGGGTTAAACACCCCGGGTGTGGGTTAAACTCATGCTGGGTGTGTGCCCAAGATTCTGAGAGGAGAGTGGAGAAGAAGGGACTGTGGCATGGCCATCCCCCTTGAGGGTGATTTCTCACTTTCTGTCTTTCTGTCTCTCTGTTTTTCTGGCAAGCACATGTGCCCTATAGCAAAAACCTCTCAAAAAAAAACAACAAAAAAAAAAAAAAAAAAAAAAAAAAAAAAAAAAAAAAAAAAGAAAAGAAAAAAAAGAAAAGAAAAGAAAAGAAAGAGAAAGCACTCCCCAATAGGCTTCTGATGCCATAATCTACCCCAGCCCCAGCCAGCCCTGGATCACGGGTACAGAGATACTCAGCATACTCAGAGAGGTCCCCGGTGGTGGACCCAGAACCTTCCTGTGTTGGTCAGCCTTGCAGAAGCTTGTGTTTTACCTCTGCACCACAGTCTGGTCCCTGAAGAGATTTCTGAAAATGCAACAGTGATTATATTGTACTATATACGCCATATATAATTTTTCTAAGACTTAAAAGTGGAAATGTTTCCCTCTTGTCATTGTACATTTCTATAAACATTGTCTTAAATAGCTCTCGAATACTCTACTGAATGGCCCTCCTAGAGTTTATCTAATCATTCCCTTATTTGGGATAATTAGATCACTTCCCTTTTATTAAACTATCACAAATAATGCTAAGGTAAACAGCTTTGTACTTAAAGCTTTTTCAGCTTTCCTGACGATTTTCTGAGGAAAGATTTTTCAAGGCTTTGATACAATTTGCTAAATTGCCTCCTGGAAGCGATTCATACGCCCACGGTCATTTCTGCGAGTGCCCCTCTCGCTCTGCCCTCGCCAGTGCTGAGTGTTATCACTTTCACCGCAAGCTTTGCAAATTTTATAAGCAAAAAATGGTATCTTGTTTCGATTTGCAATGCTTGGCTATCTGGTGAGGGTACACATTTTCCCATGTGTTTATTAACAAGCTATAGTCAAGATTATTTCTATCTTTTGCCCATCAAACTAGTGGGGTTGAAGATTTGTTCTTAATTCTGAAAAGGAACACTGTTGTCTCAAATGTAGGTTTTTTGTTTGTTCCTTTTTTTTTTTTTTTTTTTCAACTCTCAGCCATCAAGGCTTTTTAGCAGATCCTTTTTTTGGAAACCACGACTTGAGATGACTGAAGAAACCTGTTGTCTTAAATGTAGGTTTTTTTTTTTTTCCTTTTTTTTTTTTTTTTTTTTCAACTCTCAGCTCTGAAGGCTTCTTAGCAGATCCTTTTTTTGGAAACCACGACTTGAGATGACTGACTAGGGAGGCAGGCATGCTGAGAACCTTCCTCACGCTAGGCCAGGTGTTTATGCACCAGGACAGGGAATGGGTGGTGGTGCAGTTTGTTAGCCTGGGTCAGGGAGCCTGGGTCCTGGCCCCAGCTCCCTACCTGATCTGCTCTGAGGGGCTGGCACTTCCCTTCTCTGCATGGTTGTCAGACTAGCTGATCTCTGGGGTCCCTTTTGCCTTCAAGCCACTAGAGTTGGTTGAGTTTACAGGGTGATAAAGGAGTGGACGACATTCATGATGCATTAATGATGTGCTAAGCACATACAGGGAAACTGAAGCTTAGGTTAAATGACTTGCCCAAATAAACAGCAGAGCAGGGATTTGAACTTAGGCCTCCTGACTCTGCTTTGCTCATAAAGTCCATATGATGCTTGATAATGGGAAATCAATCGAATGAAGAATGGGTAACGTTCTTTGTTGCACCTACTTCACAGGGTTGCGGGGAAACTTAACTGGGCCAAATGAATTCCCCAAATGCTTGGCGTGCATCGCGGATTGTTTCACGACCATATGACAATTTGTGGTTAACTTGGGGTGTCATAGCTGGATTGGTTGGACTTCAGGGGTCCAGATCGCAAATGTGAAACCAAAGGTGTACACGCACATGTGCCTCTGTGCATTTTTCTGGGGAAAGAAAGGAACAGATGCTTGAATCAAGAGAGCTATGCTATGCAGGCAGGGTCCAGGCCTTGCTTTCTAGGGCTGTTTGGAGCCATTGGACTATCCCAACTGACTAGAAGCAGCTCTTGCTCCACCCCTAGCAATTGTGCTGGTCAATCCTGGCAACTGTCTCGATGCATGCTAGCATCCAAAGGAATATCCAACAGCCGATCCAGAATGCGCTCCTTAACTTGCTCCTATATGGCAAAGGGAAGGCACTCTGCTTGGGGCACTAAGTGGGTGCGGTATCCTCAGCCTGTCCCTCAGCCTGTCTCTGGGTCTCGGTCACCTCCACTGTCCGTGGAGAGCACTGGTCTAGGAGTCTTGAAGCCTTAAAGTGGCATCGACTGAGAGGGCGGAAGCGCGCTGTGTGGCTGCGCTGCTTTGGAGACCTTCGGCACTGCCTAGTACAGAGGGGGACTCAACTGAATCCCTCCCTGGAGTCTACTTTAGAGCAGTTGCCCTCTTAGCATGGGTGAGAAGCAACAAATCGTTCCCATCTTCTTCTTCTTTTTTTTTATTCAACTTTATTTATTATTATTATTATTTTCCAGTTCAATCAGAGAGAGACAGAGAAAGAGAGAGAGGGAAAGCGAGAAAGCAAGCTGCCAGCCTGGCCCCATCTTCTTTCCATCCTTCACTTGTAGTCAAGGACACTCACTGACAGGAACTTAGCTGAGTTTCAGGGTCGGCAGGTGAGTCCACTGTGGTTTGAGTCCCGGGCCCGGTGGCTTTCTTTCTCACTTTCTCTCTCTCTCTCTCTCTCTTGCTCTTGTTCACTCTGTCCTTCTCTGGTCAAATAAAATAAATAAATACATACATACATACATAAAATAAAGCTAAATTAAAAAAAAAAAAAAAAGAACTTAGCTAAGTTTGTCCAGGAGTGGCCGCGATGACTCACCAGGAGTACAATGTTTATGATATGCCACTGTCCTACTCGCGCCATTCCAAAAACTACTTGGCAACCTAAATGCTTGCATTGTAGATGGAAGCTAGGTGACTAGCCCATGCCAATGTGCTCAGGACGCCCAGTTTTAGAACCAGAAGTCCCCCATTCCAGTCATGCCCTGACTCCTAGCAAATTGAAACGGCTGGTCACTGTTGAACGGTGAGAGGTGACTTTGCCTCCCTTGCCTCAGGGGACATCGAGCACTGCTTAGAGACATTTTCGGTTGTCACCCCTCAGGGGAAGGTATTTGTCACTGGTACCTAGTGGATAGAGGCCAGGGACCATGCTAAACATCCTAGGACGATCATTTCTCCGCATGAAGAGTGATAGGACCCAAAGTGTCAATAAGGCCAAGACTGAGGAACCAGGACTCCGGATATGTAAAATGACCCCAACGGGCAGCAACACAGAGCACCACAGCAAGGTTAGCCTCTGTATTTTCTTAGTCAAGAATTAAGCTGCAGTCCACACACCTGATCAGTAGGAAAGTCTGGGGCATTCCTCAGATTCATTACCATTATAAACCCAGGGTTCAAAAGGCCAGGAGACAGCGCTTTAAAATTCTGTTTCCGTTGAATGGCTACAGTAGGGAAGGGTGGCTTTTCCCTCTGCGTTTAGGACAAAGCAGACAAAATTCCTTATCATCTCTCTCTGGGGACCAGCAGTTGGCATAATGTCTATGTCACTGGACTCCCATGTACTCGACCGTGGTTTGAGTCCAGGACTCACGCCAGGCGTGTGTGTGTGCGCGTGCGTGCTGCTCAAGATCCCGAGAGGAGAATGGAGGAGAAGGGATCTCTCTGACAGAGACTCCCCACCTCATCTTCCTTTCACTGATGGCAGAACTCTCATGGGTCTCTGCTCTAAGAAAGGGTTCCAGTGTTAATTTTTTGCTTCACATGGCTCCGACTTCTCCTCCTACCTTGTGTGGTGTTAATACCTGAGAGGCTGCCACCTCTCCAGGGCCCTAGAGCATGCGTCTGCTGCTTCAGTCCTCATGTCTTTGTTTCCTACTCCGGCAAGCCCCTCGCCTTCTTGGAAATCCAGGTTAACATTATCGGGGCTTTGTCAGTGCTCATGTGGCACGTCTGCAGGGCTCCATTGGGAAGGCTTTAGATTCTCCAATTCACTGTATTGTCTGACCTAGAAGTCTCTGTCCTCCTTGTCCTCTGCCTCTTTTTCTTTTCCTTCACTTTTTAATGTTTGTTTTAATTTTCAAAGGACAAGGTTTCCTCATTTATTATTTTTAAAAAGATTTAATTTCATTTTTTTAATTATATTTTAGTTTGCTGTAGCTCTCATGAGCTCACCAGTGAGAGAGGAGAGAGAGAGAGAAGGTGAGAAAGCAAGCCGCCAGGGCCAGGACTCAATTGTGGTCAGTCATGTGGGAGTCCAGTGCCTGAACTATCACACCACTGGCCAGCTCCTCCTCGTTTATTTTTTTATGTTTATTTTTTTAGAGAGAGATTTTTGCTACAGGGTGTGTGTGCTCACCAGAGAGACAGAAAGCAAAAAATCACCCCCTGGGGGGGATGGCCATACCTCAATCCCTTCTCCTCACAGGATCTTAGGCACACACATGGGCTGGGGTGATTTTAAGCCACTGAGTCCGGGACTTGAACTGCAATCAACTACATGGGATTCCAGCAATG